AGGAACGCATGAGCGGCGAGGCGCTTCGCGTTACGGCAGGGAACCAGTTGGGCCAATTGACCCTTTCCTGCTGGAGCGAGCGCCCCTTCTCACGACCCTCTTCTTCCAGGCCTGCTCTCCGTGCCGCTGAACATGCGGCTACATCCTCTTTGGGCCGCCGTCGGCCTTTTCTTCTCCGCCTTCCCGTTATTCTACCTCTTGAACACCACAGCGTCCTTGCACAAGTAAGTATCGTGTGAATTCAGCACAAAGGACACGGATTCCACCTGGATTTTTTTTTTCCTCCTGACCCTCTTATGCCTTTTTCCCACAACTTCTGGGGGTTCAGGAGGAAGTGCGTTAAAAAGTTTGGCGCACCAACATGACCTGTCACAAGGCCAGCTGTGGGAAGGGAACATGGGAATAATGAACAAGAGAGAAATGACAGAGGCAGAAATGCAGCCACCTTCAGGGACCACTAGCGACCGAGGGCCGGGCGGTCTCAGTCACGGCCTCCTGGTTGTTGGTCAAAGTACTCCTTGTAGGACCGTTTCTAGAGGTCCTTAAATGAGCCTGGAAAAAAACCTGACATGATCATTTTTAGTCATTTTCAATAGCTTTAATGTGAGTTTTATGTTGATTTAAAGCTGTTATATTGTTTTAGTGCATTTAGATGGTTTAAAATGTAGACAGTTTAAAGGCAGGGGGTTTAATGTAGGGGGTTTAAATGAGATAGCTTAACATTGAATGCCAATCAGGGAAAGATGCTTTATATAATGATAAGAACAACAACAACAGCAATAATAATAATAGGGTCCTGCTTGATATACCTACAATTTTAGCTGCCAACTTGTCCCAGTGCCCTTCTCTGCTTCTGGCAGGTACGTATAAGTCATTCTGTTTAAAACTACCACTGGGGCGGGGGGGGAACTTAACTTCTCTTGAAATTTTGGCAGGCTGAACCTCCATTAAAAACTCCAGGGTTGTGTCTTGCCCAATCTGGTAATGTTCCCACGCTGGATCCGCCTGTCACTAGCTGTGCCCCATAATCTGCCCATCAAAAAGACACAGCACAAAGGGAAAAGCGATGGGGCAGGAAGAGGAGAGACAAAGAGCATATTTGGGTATTGTTTCATGAAAGTTAAGCAGCAGTTATTAAAATGAGAACCAGGAAACTATTCAGAAAGAAGAAGACCAATGGAATTGGTCTTTCGGTCGGTGGATGCGATGGCCTGGCTTATTGGTCCTCATTTTCTGCTACGATTCCTATTTGCAGATCACCTCCAATGATCAAGTCCCAAGATTCAGTGGCAGGATCAGAGCTGAAGGTTGAGCAATATGTAGTTATTAACGAACATCCACTGTACACAGGGATGTTCCACTTGATCTTCAGCATCACTGCTTGTCTCCAAGCAGGTGATGCGTTCCCCTTGCCAGGGCTCCTGGCCCCCTTTCCTTTGGCAGGAAGGAGGGAAATAATTAATGGCTGTGCCTAAAAATACATTCTGGGGACTGCCAGCCTATCTGTGCTGTGGCAATTTGCCCACTGCTGTTGCAGAGCAGTTCAAAAGGAATGCAGAGTGGCGATGGCTCCTGTTGTATGTTATTGTTTAGGGCAGTGTTTTTCAACCTTGGCAACTTTAAGATGTGTGTACTTCAACTCCCAGAATTCCCCAGCCAGCCAGTTGAAGTCCACACATCTTAAAGCTGCCAAGGTTGAAAAACACTGGGTTAGATTGACTCTGAAGGCATTTCTAAGATTGAAAAGTCAGTGCCTCTTTGTCTTCCCAAAATTCATTCATTTCTACCCATGGAGTATGTTTGCATGGCACCCGAGCTGGGGATGCAAAACATACAGCCCAGGGATGACATCATACAACCCCAAAGCACCCCTTTCTTGGCCCCTTAGGGCTGCCCCACAGTAGGTGTGACCAAAATGTTGCTAAGTTTCTGCTTGTTTAATGTTGGAGGTTTTAAGGAGCAAAATTAGGGTCTGAAGCTTTGCAGGTGCTAAAGTCTCACGTTGGAATCCTTAAAACATATCCCCCCCCCTTAAAAGAAAAACAGAGAACTTTTGAAGTGTCTTTCTTAAAATACTACCCCTACATTAAATCCTAATCTGGATAAGTGCCTGAGCTTGGACTAATACAATGTTTCTCAATCTTAGCCATTTGAAGCTGTGTGGACTTCAACCCCCAGAATTCCCCAGCCAGCATGCTGGCTGGGGGATTCTGGGAGTTGAAGTCCACACAGCTTCAAGTCGCCAAGGTTGAGAAACACTGGACTGGTGTAATTTAGGCCTCCAGACAGAGAGATGGGAAGCTTGAGAGCCTGCAGGAGTGGACCACTCTAGCAGTGACATCTCCACTGCTCCTGCCTTCAAGGAGAGCAAAACAGTCCATTTTCTGTTTAATGTTCTAAGTTTCTAGTCCATAAGATCACCCAACCCAGCGGTATTTCTCTTGTCCTGATTGGCAAGGCTGTATTTTGGTTTCCAGGAGGGACACTATTCCCTGCCTTCAAGGGAGGGAGCCGCTGCCCAGCCCACTGGGGAATCTGGGGTGGAAATGCCATCTTACATTTTCTTTTTGGCCGCTAAAAATGACGCCGGCAGCCTGGGTGGGCCGCAAGCTGCCAGTTTTTGAACGACCAGCTTAATTCAGGTGGATATTGCCCAGATTGGTCAGAGCAGGTGACTCAGCTGCACTTTGATCCCAACTTTGTAGACAGCAAAACTTCTGAGCTGACCCAGCATCCTGCAAGTTTATGGAGGCTGTTTCCCTTGAGCTGGGAATGGATGGGCTGATGACATGCACAGGAGTGTAGGCCTCCTGCTGTCCATTTCTATTACTTTTATTTGTCCAAACGGAAAAGAGAAGCACCTATATTAAATCAGGAGGAATCGGGTAGCAGCTTTTCCAACTAATCCATTTTATTAAAAGGCAGAAGCTTTTGAGAGCTGCAGCTCATGAAAGTTGATGGCTTCAAGAAAATTTGTTAGCTGGTAAACGTGATTTTTTTTTTCCTCTTCCTGATTTTTGGCTGCCGTAGATAGCGCAGCTGTCCTCCTACAACGTCTACATTAAATAGTGATTATGCAGTGAAGAAAAAAAAAATTAAGTGTGTTACAGTAATTAAAATGAGCTAAACATAACCCCCAAACTTAATTAACAGATGAAAAATCCACAGGATAAATAGTATCTGTTATAACGTTAATTCATTTATGAAGCTTATCATTACATCTTAAGGCCGTAGAGCAATTTATATACACAGAATATGGAGCGATATATGGTGTCATCTTCTCATTTTTAGAAGATAGAGATTTTTCAAAGGCAACTCACCACCACATATTAGATACCCCAGTTGAATGGAAGTCTGATCTCTTGCAGAGGGTTTTCGAAATGTGTCTCAAGGACACAAGGATCTAGTGCAGCAAGGGGAGGGCCCATCATTTTCTAAACCCTCTGACATCTGATTAAAACAGCCTTTCCTTAACATACATACATACATTTATGCCTTCGAGTCAGTGTTGACTCCTGGCGACTTCCTAGACAAGCCCCTGCAGTTTTCTTGACTACATTTTTCAGAAGTGGTTTGCCATTGCCTGCTTCCTAGGGCTCAGAGAGAGGGACTGGCCCAAGGTCACCCAGCTGGCTTTGTGCCTAAGGCAGGACTAGAACTCAGGACCTCCTGGCTTCTAGCCTGGTGCCTTAACCACCACACCAAACTGGCTCTCTTCCCTGACATAGAAATGTAGAATGTAAGGGTTGGAAGGCCCCTTAGAGAACATTTAGTCCAACCCCCTACCAGTCCACGAACCCATCGCTACAGTATCCCTAACAGATGGTGATCCAGTGAAGGAGAGTCCACCACCTCTTCCTGATCTCCCCTCAAAATTGGCCTCTGTTGCTTCTTGTCCTGTTTCTGCAATGCCTCTGAACAATTCTGACCCATCTTCTATACCAGTGTTCCTCAACCTCGGGTACTTGAAGATGTGTGGACTTCAACTCCCAAAATTCTGGGAGTTGAAGTCCACACATCTTCAAGTG